TTTTTCACCAGGCCCGGTCATCCTGCCAAATTTCATGAGTTTTCGCCAGTGGGAAGTGGGCCATTTTCCAGTTCAAAGGGGAGGAAAAAGAAGAACTAGGGCCCCGGTGGGGCACTGTCGGGCCCGAGCCGCGTCGTGCCGCCCCCAGCGTGACCGCCTCCCCCTCCCGATTGAGTCACACTCAAGGTCCAAAGATGGTGTGCGCACTTGTCTGTGGTCATTTCCCATTATAATGAATGGGAGGCGCAGTTTCTACCAAAACACTCGCTGCAGACAAACTTCATGTCCTATTTGAAAAAAGTCTGGACCATGAGTGAGGGCACAAACACAGCTGGGACATATCCAAATGGCAGGTTGCTCCTCGTTACGGTGTTGCCTGGAGAGCGATGCGATTGAGCCATTGAGCGATGGGCAGGAAAAACTTGACTTTTTCTCCTGCCATGGGGGGGGAGAATGTGGATTCTTTTAAGAATGTGGATTTTTTGGTCATCTTTGGCGCCCCCTAGAACGTAAACCGTGGGGTGCAGCGTCATGATTTTTACAACTTTGAATGGCCATGGGGTGTAGATTGGCCTGAGCAAATTTGGTTTCAGTGGGACGAAAGCCTTAGGAGGAGTTAGCCACATTCCAATGTGTGCGAATCGGCAAAAAATGCAAAATAGCCCTCTAACCGTACATTTGACAGATACGCACCTATTGACTTTTTCGTAGATCTTATTGAGATACACGTGATTGTCAAATTTTGTGTCAATATGACAAAGCGTACAGGTGTCACACTCAACAATGTGAATTTTCACCTTACGGGACAAGAAAAAATTGACTTTTTTCTCCTGCCATGGGGGGGCGCTCTTTTGAGGAGTAAAAATTCCTTCACAAATGTGTTGATGGCTGGACATTGCATCATCCTAGAAAACTTGGAGGCCAGTGAGGACAAAAATAAAAAGTTATAAGACTTTGAAATATGTGGATTTTAGGGTTATCTTTGGCGCCCCCTAGAACCTAAACCGTGGGGTGCAGCGTCATGATTTGAATAACTTTTAATGGCCATGGGGTGTAGATTGGCCTGAGCAAATGTGGTGCCGGTGGAACGCCAGCCTTAGGAGGAGTTAGCGAAATTCCAATGTGTGCGGATCAGCAAAAAATGCGGAATAACCCTTTAACCGTACATTTGACAGATACGCGCGCATTGACTTTTTCGTAGATCTTATTGAGATACATGTGTGTGTCAAATTTTGTGTCAATATGACAAAGCGTACAGGCGTGACACTCAACAATGTGTATTTTCACCTTAGGGGACAAGAAAAAATGGACTTTTTTCTCCGGCCATGGGGGGGCGCTCTTTTGGGGAGTAAAAATTCCTTCACAAATGTGTTGATGGCTGGACATTGCATCATCCTAGAAAACTTGGAGGCCAGTGAGGGCAAAAATAAAAAGTTATAAGACTTTTAAATATGTGGATTTTAGGGTTATCTTTGGCGCCCCCTAGAACCTAAACCGTGGGGTGCAGCATCATGATTTGAATAACTTTTAATGGCCATGGCGTGTAGATTGGCCTGAGCAAATGTGGTGCCGGTGGAAAGAAAGCCTTCGGAGGAGTTAGCGAAATTCCAATGTGTGCGGATCGGCAAAAAATGCGGAATAACCCTTTAACCGTACATTTGACAGATACGCCCGCACTGACTTTTTTGTAGATCTTATTGAGATACATATGTGTGTCAATTTTTGTGTCATTTTGACAAAGCGTGAAGGCGTGACAGTCAATAGTGTGAATTTTCACCTTAGGGGGCGCTATGGAGCCATTTTGCATTTTCTTGTTTGGGCGACTTCGGAATATCAAATTTTTCACCAGGCCCGGTCATCCTGCCAAATTTCATGAGTTTTCGCCAGTGGGAAGTGGGCCATTTTCCAGTTCAAAGGGGAGGAAAAAGAAGAAAGAAAGAAACAAAGAAAAACCACTTGGGGAATAATAGGGCTCTCGCAGCTGCTTAGCAGCTACGCTCGGGCCCTAACTAGGACCCCGTTGGGGCACTGGCGGGCCCGAGCTGTGTCGCGTCCCCCCAACGCGCTGCCTCCCCGTCCCATTTGTGTCCTCTGGCCATCGCCCTCTCTGGTAACGCCCATCACTGCAAAGACCCTTTTCCTTCATCAGCGTTTGCTGTTCTTCCTGCCAGTGCGTGTTGCTTTCACTTACACTTGCCACAGCCAGCCTCGTGAGTGCCTAGCCTATTGGATATCACTGTCACCTACACAGGACAGTCATTACCTTTCTATTAATACTTTGTTTTTTAATTTCACATTAATTTCCATATTGTATAAACAACTGGAAAAACTTGAGCCCCTGCCCCTGTATAATCATGTGCACGTCTCTGTTCTAGCTCTAAGGTGAATCTTCACTGCTCATGTTCTCCTCAGAAGCAGTCACCTCACTCCCCTCAGGTTACTGTACACATGCACCAACTGCCTGCTTCAGGTTTGGATGGAGCTTCATGGTTGTCTTTTGGAGAAATGACCAGTCAAGTTGTGTTTGAAATTTGATTTTTTTCAGGGGCAAAAGGAGCCTCTGCATTCTTGTCAAATATGTAAATAGCATGTTTTTGCAGGTGCTAAAAACCAGACTCTGAGTGTGTGTGTGTGCGTGTGTGTGTGTGTCTGTGTGTGTGTGTGTGTGTGTGTGTGTGTGTGTGTGTGTGTGTGTGTGTGTGTGCGTTCAAGTCACATGACATATTTAACCGGATGTAGCTGCAAGACGGAGCCTCGTTGACTCTCCGTTTCAATTTATCTCATAAGTGAGGACCTCAACCTATATACCAGTTTTTAAATTGTGTTGATAGGCCAAATAAAACCAGAGTTATGATAAATTATGTCCACAATACTTGTTTTCTGCTTATTTTGATCACGTTCGGCGCTCGATCGCGCTGTATGAGACAGGAAAACATAGCATGCAGACATTAGCGACAGGTCTTACAGGCGGAAAAGGCTTGCCAAAGAAAAAAAAAACACACCACAACATCTCTCCTATTGGTGGAAAACTTCACCACAACAACCAATCCAAAATTATATGGTGACTGATTGACAAGGGACGGGAACTTACGTTCTTCCTGCAATATGAGAAGGGAGGGAGGGACTCTCAGCAGGGATGCAGTCTGGGACACGTAGTTGCAAACCTAGCGACTTTGTTGTTAGATTCAATGACTTTTCAGACCCCCTAACGACTTTTTTTAGAAAGAAAGTGACTTTTATCGACTTCTTATGGAGTTTAGAGACTCTGACATGAAGCAGGCTTTCCTTACTGAGGAGTTAGCAACGCTGCTAAGGGTGCAGAGCCACACATGCGCTCCGAGCTCTGCATGGGAGACTGAAGCTGACAGAGCTGCAGCAGTTAGCAGGTTTCACCCTCAGAGACCACCAGGGGTTCATGTTGAGGCATTTTCAGTTTTTTTTTTTTTTTTTTGCCATAGACACTGTCAGCACAATCTGCAGTTACACTAACAAAAATGCTGCAAAAAACAAAGAATTATGGAAAAATTACACATGGACTAACATAGAGGAGGATCTACACAAGTTTTTTACATCATGTTTTACATCATGCATCATTTACATCATGTTTTTTTGTAGTGGCATAAATAAAAAGTGACATTTGTGAGACTTTACAGTGTTTTGTAAATAATTTTACAAAGAACACCTGGGCCATTGCCTGCATTTTGATGTAAATAGAGGTAAATTACTATGTTCTTTGTTAAAAATTTGCATATGTTTTGAAGTTTGCAATTTTTATTTGAAGTTTAAGTTTTAAAAACAGTTCATCACACATATTTGTGGTTTTCACAGTAAAAATGTTACTTTTTTCCACTCGGATTTTATGTTTTGTGTGTGAATTTGGGTCCAATGTGTAAATATAGTATGTCAAAATGATAAAATAACTGTAAATTGACACAGGTGAGGTTGTGCTGAAAAAAATGATACCAGGCAAGGCAAGGTAAAAATTTTGTAAGAGGAAATATAAAGGTAAAATCTAAAGTAGTCAAAAACGGCCAATAGTGACTCACAGACTCCACAGACAAGTCCCTTTGGCGCCACTCAGAGGGCAAAACTACTTTGTCTACTGTAATGTATATTTGGGTCATCTTTGGCGCCCCCTAAAACGTAAACCGTGGGGTGCAGCGTCATGATTTTTACAACTTTGAATGGCCATGGAGCGTAGATTGGCCTGAGCAAATTTGGTGTCAGTGGGACGAAAGCCTTAGGAGGAGTTAGCCACATTCCAATGTGTGCGAATCGGCAAAAAATGCAAAATAGCCCTTTTACCGTACATTATACAGATACGCGCTCTTTGACTTTTTCGTAGATCTAATTGAGATACACATGATTGTCAATTTTTGTGTCATTTTGCCAAAGCGTACAGGCGTGACAGTCAACAATGTGTATTTTCAACTTAGGGGACAAGAAAAAATGGACTTTTTCTCCTGCCATGGGGGGCGCTCTTTTGGGGAGTAAAAATTCCTTCACAAATGTGTTGATGGCTGGACATTGCATCATCCTAGAAAACTTGGAGGCCAGTGAGGACAAAAATAAAAAGTTATAAGACTTTTAAAAATGTGGATTTTTGGGTTATCTTTGGCGCCCCCTAGAACGTAAACCGTGGGGTGCAGCGTCATGATTTGAATAACTTTTAATGGCCATGGGGTGTAGATTGGCCTGAGCAAATGTGGTGCCGGTGGAACGAAAGCCTTCGGAGGAGTTAGCGAAATTCCAATGTGTGCGAATCGGCAAAAAATGCGGAATAACCCTTTAACCGTACATTTGACAGATACGCGCGCGTGGACTTTTTTGTAGATCTTATTGAGATACATGTGTGTGTCAATTTTTGTGTCATTTTGACAAAGCGTACAGGCGTGACAGTCAACAATGTGTATTTTCAACTTAGGGGACAAGAAAAAATGGACTTTTTTCTCCTGCCATGGGGGGCGCTCTTTTGGGGAGTAAAAATTCCTTCACAAATGTGTTGATGGCTGGACATTGCATCATCCTAGAGAACTTGGAGGCCAGTGAGGGCAAAAATAAAAAGTTATAAGACTTTTAAGACTGTGGATTTTTGGGTTATTTTGGCGCCCCCTAGAACGTAAACTGTGGGGTGCAGCGTCATGATTTGTACAACTTTTAATGGCCATGGGGTGTAGATTGGCTTGAGCAAATGTGGTGCCGGTGGAACGAATGCCTTCGGAGGAGTTAGCCAAATTCCAATGTGTGCAGATCGGCAAAAAATGCGAAATAACCCTCTAACCGTACATTTCACAGATGCGCCCGCGCTGACTTTTTCGTAGACCGTATTGAGATACACGTGTGTCTCAATTTTTGTGTCAATATGACAAAGCGTACAGGCGTGACAGTCAATAGTGTGAATTTTCGCCTTAGGGGGCGCTATGGAGCCATTTTGCATTTTATTGTTTGGGCGACTTCAGAATATCGAATTTTTCACCAGGCCCGGTCGTCCTGCCAAATTTCATGAGTTTTCGCCAGTGGGAAGTGGGCCATTTTCCAGTTTAAAGGGGAGGAAAAATAATAACTAGGGCCCCGGTGGGGCACTGTCGGGCCCGAGCCGCGTCGCGCCGCCCCCAGCGCGACCGCCTCCACCTCCCGATCGCGTCACACTCTAGGTCCAAAGATGGAGTGCGCACTTGTCTGTGGTCATTTCCCATTATAATGAATGGGAGGCGCAGTTTCTACCAAAACACTCGCTGCAGACAAACTACATGTCCTATTTGAAAAAAGTCTGGACCATGAGTGAGGGCACAAACACAGCTAGGATATATCCAAATGGCAAGTTGCTCCTCCTTTCGCTTTTGCCGAGAGAGCGATGCGATTGAGCCATTGAGTGATGGGCAGGAAAAACTTGACTTTTTCTCCTGCCATGGGGGGAGGGGGGGGATGTGGATTCTTTTAAGAATGTGGATATTTGGGTCATCTTTGGCACCCCCTAGAACGTAAACCGTGGGGTGCAGCGTCATGATTTTTACAACTTTGAATGGCCATGGGGAATAGATTGGCCTGAGCAAATTTGGTGTCAGTGGGACGAAAGCCTTAGGAGGAGTTAGCCACATTCCAATGTGTGCGAATCGGCAAAAAATGCAAAATAGCCCTTTAACCGTACATTTTACAGATATTTGCGCATGACTTTTTCATAGATCTTATTGAGATACACGTGATTGTCAAATTTTGTGTCATTTTGACAAAGCGTACAGGCGTGACACTCAACAATGTGTATTTTCACCTTATGGGACAAGAAAAAATGGACTTTTTTCTCCTGCCATGGGGGGGCGCTCTTTTGGGGAGTAAAAATTCCTTCACAAATGTTTTGATGGCTGGACATTGCATCATCCTAGAAAACTTGGAGGCCAGTGAGGACAAAAATAAAAAGTTATAAGACTTTGAAATATGTGGATTTTAGGGTTATCTTTGGCGCCCCCTAGAACCTAAACCGTGGGGTGCAGCGTCATGATTTGAATAACTTTTAATGGCCATGTGGTGTAGATTGGCCTGAGCAAATTTGGTGCCGGTGGAACGAAAGCCTTCGGAGGAGTTAGCGAAATTCCAATGTGTGCGGATCGGCAAAAAATGCGAAATAGCCCTTTAACCGTACATTATACAGATACGCGCTCATTGACTTTTTCGTAGATCTTATTGAGATACACGTGTGTGTCAAATTTTGTGTCAATATGACAAAGCGTTCAGGCATGACACTCAACAATGTGTATTTTCACCTTAGGGGACAAGAAAAAATGGACTTTTTTCTCCTGCCATGGGGGGGCGCTCTTTTGGGGAGTAAAAATTTCTTCACAAATGTGTTGATGGCTGGACATTGCATCATCCTAGAAAACTTGGAGGCCAGTGAGGACAAAAATAAAAAGTTATAAGACTTTTAAGACTGTGGATTTTTGGGTTATCTTTGGCGCCCCCTAGAATGTAAACCATGGGGTGCAGCGTCATGATTTGTACAACTTTTAATGGCCATGGGGTGTAGATTGGCCTGAGCAAATTTGTTGCCGGTGGAACGAAAGCCTTCGGAGGAGTTAGCGAAATTCCAATGTGTGCGGATCGGCAAAAAATGCGAAATAGCCCTTTAACCGTACATTTGACAGATACGCCCGCACTGACTTTTTTGTAGATCTTATTGAGATACACATGTGTGTCAAATTTTGTGTAATTTTGACAAAGCGTACAGGCGTCAGGTGAGTTTTCACCATAGGGGGCGCTATGGAGCCATTTTTCATTTTTTTGTTTGGGCGACTTCAGAATATCGAATTTTTCACCAGGCCCGGTCGTCCTGCCAAATTTCCTGAGTTTTCGCCAGTGGGAAATGGGCCATTTTCCAGTTTAAAGCGGAGGAAAAATAACGAAAGAAGAATCCATCAGGAACAAGAGGGCTCTCGCAGCTGCTTAGCAGCTACGCTCGGGCCCTAATAATAACAAAAGAAGAATCCATCAGGAACAAGAGGGCTCTCGCAGCTGCTTAGCAGCTACGCTCGGGCCCTAAAAAGAAACAAAGAAAAACCACTTGGGGAATAATAGGGCTCTCGCAGCTGCTTAGCAGCTACGCTCGGGCCCTAACTAGGGCCCCGTTGGGGCACTGGCGGGCCCGAGCCGTGTCGCACCCCCCCCCCCCAACGCGCTGCCTCCCCGTCCCATTCGTGTCCTCTGGCCATCGCCCTCTCTGGTAACGCCCATCACTGCAAAGACCCTTTTCCTTCATCGGCGTTTGCTGTTCTTCCTGCCAGTGCGTGTTGCTTTCACTTACACTTGCCACAGCCAGCCTCGTGAGTGCCTAGCCTATTGGATATCACTGTCACCTACACAGGACAGTCATACTTTGTTTTTTAATTTCACATTAATTTCCATATTGTATAAACGACTGGAAAAAAGTTGAGCCCCTGCCCCTGTATTATCATGTGCACGTCCCTGTTCTAGCTCCAAGGTGAATCTTCACTGCTCATGTTCTCCTCAGAAGCAGTCACCTCACTCCCCTCAGGTTACTGTACACATGCACCAACTGCCTGCTTCAAGTTTGGATGGAGCTTCATGGTTGTCTTTTGGAGAAATGAGCAGTCAAGTTGTGTTTGAAATTTGATTTTTTTCAGGGGCAAAAGGAAGCCTCTGCATTCTTGTCAAATATGTAAATAGCATGTTTTTGCAGGTGCTAAAAAACAGACTCTGAGTGTGTGTGTGTGTGTGTGTGTGTGTGTGTGTGTGTGTGCGTGTGTGTCTGTGTGTGTGTGTGTGTGTGTGTGTGTATCCTGCAGTACTCTGAGAAGAATAATAAGCATATTTCTGAGGTGAATTTTGAAGATTCATCTGAGAGTTAGGTTTGATTCGATTCGATTGACGCTCCCCAGCGTTCAAGTCACATGACATATTTAACCGGATGTAGCTGCAAGACGGAGTCTCGTTAACTCTCCGTTTCAACTTATCTCAAAAGTGAGGACCTCAACCTATATACCAGTTTTTAAATTGTGTTGATAGGCCAAATAAAACCAGAGTTATGATAAATTATGTCCGCGATACTTTTTTTCTGCTTATTTTGATCACGTTCGGCGCTCGATCGCGCTGTATGAGACAGGAAAACATAGCATGCACACATTAGCGACAGGTCTTACAGGCGGAAAAGGCTTGCCAAAAGAAAAAAAAAACACACCACAACATCTCTCCTATTGGTGGAAAACTTCACCACAACAACCAATCCAAAATTATATGGTGACTGATTGACAAGGGGCGGGCGCTTACGTTCTTCCTGCAACATGAGAAGGGAGGGAGGGACTCTCAGCAGGGATGCAGTCTGGGACACGTAGTTGCAAACCTAGCGACTTTGTTGTTAGATTCAATTACTTTTCAGACCCCCTAACGACTTTTTTTAGAAAGAAAGGGACTTTTATCGACTTCTTCTGGAGTTTAGAGACTCTGACATTGAAGCAGGCTTTCCTTACTGAGGAGTTAGCAACGCTGCTAAGGGTGCAGAGCCACACATGCGCTCCGGGCTCTGCATGGGAGACTGAAGCTGACAGAGCTGCAGCAGTTAGCAGGTTTCACCCTCAGAGACCACCAGGGGTTCATGTTGAGGCATTTTCAGTTTTTGTTTTTTTTGCCATAGACTGTCAGCACAATCTGCAGTTACACTAACAAAAATGCTGCAAAAAACAAAGAATTATGGAAAAATTACACATGGACTGACATAGAGGAGGATCTACACAAGTTTTTTACATCATGTTTTACATCATGCATCATTTACATCATGTTTTTTTGTAGTGGCATAAATAAAAAGTGACATTTGTGAGACTATACAGTGTTTTGTAAATAATTTTACAAAGAACGCCTGGGCCATTGCCTGCATTTTGATGTAAATAGAGGTAAATTACTATGTTCTTTGTTAAAAATTTGCATATGTTTTGAAGTTTACAATTTTTATTTGAAGTTTAAGTTTTAAAAACAGTTCATCACACATATTTGTGGTTTAATTTCACATTAATTTCCATATTGTATAAATGACTGGAAAAAACTTGAGCCCCTGCCCCTGTATAATCATGTGCACGTCCCTGTTCTAGCTCCAAGGTGAATCTTCACTGCTCATGTTCTCCTCAGAAATAGTCACCTCACTCCCCTTAGGTTACTGTACACATGCACCAACTATCTGCTTCAGGTTTGGATGGAGCTTCATGGTTGTCTTTTGGAGAAATGAACAGTCAAGTTGTGTTTGAAATCTGATTTTTTTCAGGGGCAAAAGGAAGCCTCTGCATTCTTGTCAAATATGTAAACAGCATGTTTTTGCAGGTGCTAAAAAACAGACTCTGAGTGTGTGTGTGTGTGTGTGTGTGTGTGTGTGTGTGTGTGTGTGTATGTGTGTGTATCCTGCAGTACTCTGTACTCCTGCAGTGGCCAAAAAGACTTTTAAGAATGTGGATTTTTGGGTCATCTTTGGCGCCCCCTAGAACTGCAGTACTCTGTACTCCTGCAGTGGCCAAAATGACTTTTAAGAATGTGGATTTTTGGGTCATCTTTGGTGCCCCCTAGAACGTAAACCGTGGGGTGCAGCGTCATGATTTTTACAACTTTGAATGGGCATGGGGTGTAGATTGCCCTGAGCAAATTTGGTATCGGTGGGACGAAAGCCTTAGGAGGAGATAGCCACATTCCAATGTGTGCGAATCGGCAAAAAATGCGAAATAGCCCTTTAACCGTACATTATACAGATACGCGCTTTTTGACTTTTTCGTAGATCTAATTGAGATACAAATGATTGTCAATTTTTGTGTCAATATGACAAAGCGTTCAGGCGTGACACTCAACAATGTGTATTTTCATGTAAGGGGACAAGAAAAAATTGACTTTTTTCTCCTGCCATGGGGGGGCGCTCTTTTGGGGAGTAAAAATTCCTTCACAAATGTGTTGATGGCTGGACATTGCATCATCCTAGAAAACTTGGAGGGCAGTGAGGACAAAAATAAAAAGTTATAAGACTTTTAAGAATGTGGATTTTGGGTTATCTTTGGCGCCCCCTAGAACGTAAACCGTGGGGTGCAGCGTCATGATTTGTACAACTTTTAATGGCCATGGGGGGTAGATTGGCCTGCGCAAATGTGGTGCCGGTTGAACGAAAGCCTTCGGAGGAGTTAGCGAAATTCCAATGTGTGCAGATCTGCAAAAAATGCAAAATAACCCATTAACTGTACATTTGACAGATACGCCCGCACTGACTTTTTTGTAGATCTTATTGAGATACATGTGTGTGTCAATTTTTGTGTCAATATGACAAAGCGTACAGCCGTCATGTGAATTTTCACCTTAGGGGGCGCTATGGAGCCATTTTGCATTTTATTGTTTGGGCGACTTCAGAATATCGAATTTTTCACCAGGCCCGGTCGTCCTGCCAAATTTCCTTAGTTTTCGCCAGTGGGAAGTGGGCCATTTTCCAGTTTAAAGCGGAGGAAAAATAATAACGAAAGAAGGAAACATGCAGGAACAAGAGGGCTCTCGCAGCTGCTTTGCAGCTACGCTCGGGCCCTAAAGAAAAACCCCTACAGGAATAACAGGGCCTACGCCCGGCTGCTTTGCAGCTGGCTCGGGCCCTAAAGAAAGAAACAAAGAAAAACCACTTGGGGAATAATAGGGCTCTCGCAGCTGCTTAGCAGCTACGCTCGGGCCCTAAAGAAACAAAGAAAAACCACTTGGGGAATAATAGGGCTCTCGCAGCTGCTTAGCAGCTACGCTCGGGCCCTAAAGAAAGAAAGAAAGAAAGAAACAAAGAAAAACCACTTGGGGAATAATAGGGCTCTCGCAGCTGCTTAGCAGCTACGCTCGGGCCCTAAAGAAACAAAGAAAAACCACTTGGGGAATAATAGGGCTCTCGCAGCTGCTTAGCAGCTACGCTCGGGCCCTAATTAAATGAATCTTGAAGACTTAAAAACAGGCAACTGGACTGTGTAGAGTTGAGAAGACGTTTCGCCTCTTATCCAAGAAGCTTCTTCAGTTCTAAAAGTGCTAGTGTCAGGAGCAGATATTTATCTTACTGGAGAAGGGGGACAGTTAACGACTGGGTGGAGTTGAAAAAGAATGGGTCGTAGAAACCCATCTCTCGGTGTGTGTCCCCCAAGTCGTTATCCTGAAAGGGTCGTTAGCGACTCCTATCATGTGACCACATGACTCATGCCACCTGAGTCATGTGGTTCCAGGTGTGAATGTTTGTGGAGCTTCCTGGGGAGAGAGCTGAGAACTGCATTGTAAGTGCCAGAGAGATTGTGCCTGAGTCCACCCCCTCTGTTCAGAGAAGGTTTCTCCAGCCTGGTAAAGATGGCTTCTTTAACTCCTCTTTCAAACCATCTGTCTTCTCGAGCCAACACCTGTACATCGCTGTCCTCAAAAGAGTGACCCGTATCCTTCAAGTGAAGGTGGACAGCTGAGTCCTGACCTGAGGAAGTGGCTCTCCTGTGTTGAGCCATGCGCTTGTGAAGCGGTTGTTTAGTTTCCCCAATGTACAGGTCTGAGCATTCCTCGCTGCACTGGACAGCATATACCACATTACTCTGTTTATATCTCGGAGTTTTGTCCTTGGGATGGACTAGCCTCTGCCTTAGTGTGTTACCAGGCTTGAAATGAACAGGAATGTGGTGTTTGCCAAAGATCCTCTTGAGTTTTTCCGACAGGCCTGCAACGTAAGGGATTACAGTGCTCTTGCGTCTCTCCTCCCTTTCCTGTTCAGTGTTATTTCTCTTTCTGTTCTTCACAAAGGCCCACTTAGGGTATCCACAGGTTGTCAGGGCATTTTTGATGTGCTTCTGTTCCTTTTCCTTACCTTCTTTCTTCGTGGGAATGTTCTCGGCCCGGTGGTTGAGTGTTCTGATGACACCCAGTTTGTGCTGCAGAGGATGGTGGGAATCAAAAAGTAGATATTGATCTGTGTGTGTTGGTTTCCTGTACACTTCAAAGTTGAGACACCCATCTGCCTCCAAGTGTACAGCACAGTCCAAAAAGGCCAACACTTTGTCCTTGACATCTTCACGGGTGAACTTGATGTTGCTGTCCACTGTGTTGATATGGTCAGTGAAGGCCTCTACTTCATGTGTTTTGATCTTAACCCAGGTGTCATCCACATATCTGAACCAGTGGCTAGGAGCGGCTCCCTTGAAAGAGGTTAGGGCCTTCCTCTCTACCTCTTCCATGTACAGGTTTGCCACTATTGGAGAAACCGGGGAGCCCATCGCGAATCCGTGTTTCTGTCTGTAATGGCGCTCTCTGAACTGGAAATAGGTGGTGCTGAGGCAGATGTCCAATAAGGAGCAGATGTGGTCCGGGGTTAAGTTGGTTCTGACTTCCAGTGTGCTGTCCTGTGAGAGGCGTTGTCTTACTGCTTGGACTGCCTCTGTTGTTGGAATACTTGTGAAAAGTGATGTGACATCATAGGAAACCATGGTTTCATCTGGGTCCAACCTGATGTCCTTGATTTTCTCAGCAAAGTCCTGTGAGTTTCTGACATGGTGAGTGGTGTGGCCGACAAGAGGAGCTAGGATGGTGGCCAAATGTTTTGCCACTTTGTATGTGACTGAGTTAATGCTGCTGATGATAGGTCTAAGGGGCGCCCCTTCCTTGTGTATTTTTGGTAATCCATAAATGCACGGGACAGCTTCCCCTGGGTACAGTCGGTAATAGAGTGGGCGGTCGATAACTCCATCCTTTTCAAGCTGTTGAAGTGCACTGATAACTTTCTTTTTATAGCTGTTGGTGGGATCCCGTTTAAGAGTTTCATAGGTGGCAGTGTCACTGAGAAGGCTTGTTACCTTGTCATGGTAATCCCTGGTGTTGAGTACCACAGTGCATCTCCCCTTATCTGCAGGCAGGATGGTGATGTTTTCATCTTTTTGCAGTGATGCCAAGGCTCTTCTTTCCTGCATGGTCAGGTTGGAAGGAGGTGTTTTGGCATTCGAGAGAGCAGCTGTTACCTTCAACCTAAGTTGTTCTGCCTCTGTGACCGCTAGATTGTTGTTGCGGATCGCTGACTCCGTGGCTGTGATAAGGTCTACCACCGGGATCTGTTCAGGGGTAACTGCAAAATTAAGTCCTTTGTAAAGGACTTCCTTTTCCGGCTGAGTGAGGACCCTGTCTGACAAATTCTTCACCCACTTTTCTTGCATGTTGGTATCTATGTGGCTGTCCGTTTTGTCCCTCCAACCAAGTTCTGATGGACTCTTTGAGTGCTTGGAGAGCAGTCTGTCAAATTTCTGTGTTTGCCTTATCTTGCCTTTGTTGTGTTGAGAGTTCTGAGCCTTGTCAACAAAGTTGTGGACTTTGTTGAGGATGTCCTCTGGAAGTCGGGATGCCAGTGTCTCCTTGGTGTGATATATTTTATCTTGTAAGGCCTCGATGGTGAAGTTAACCTGCCTAATCCTTTCATTGAGGAGCTGCTTCTGTGTCCTGCAAAGGATGCTGTCTGCTCTGTGCCCTTTAACGGTGGAAAACAAGTGTAGGCTTTTGGGAACAAGTCCTTGCTGTCTGCATCTTAGGTTGAAGCGGAGGTGGTTTCTGTAATCCGCCATCTTCCTGCAAGTTTTCTCGTGCTCCCGGACCAGCTGAAGGGTATCCGACCCAAAGTGTGATCCAATATGTCCATGTAGATTCTCATTCATCCAGGTCATGGTTATCTTGAAGACTTAAAAACAGGCAACTGGACTGTGTAGAGTTGAGAGGACGTTTCGCCTCTTATCTAAGAAGCTTCTTCAGTTCTAAAAGTGCTAGTGTCAGGAGCAGATATTTATCTTACTTTCTTCCCACGAAGAAAGAAGGTAAGGAAAAGGAACAGAAGCACATCAAAAATGCCCTGACAACCTGTGGATACCCTAAGTGGGCCTTTGTGAAGAACAGAAAGAGAAATAACACTGAACAGGAAAGGGAGGAGAGACGCAAGAGCACTGTAATCCCTTACGTTGCAGGCCTGTCGGAAAAACTCAAGAGGATCTTTGGCAAACACCACATTCCTGTTCATTTCAAGCCTGGTAACACACTAAGGCAGAGGCTAGTCCATCCCAAGGACAAAACTCCTAGACATAAACAGAGTAATGTGGTATATGCTGTCCAGTGCAGCAAGGAATGCTCAGACCTGTACATTGGGGAAACTAAACAACCACTTCACAAGCGCATGGCTCAACACAGGAGAGCCACTTCCTCAGGTCAGGACTCAGCTGTCCACCTTCACTTGAAGGATACGGGTCACTCTTTTGAGGACAGCGATGTACAGGTGTTGGCTCGAGAAGACAGATGGTTTGAAAGAGGAGTTAAAGAAGCCATCTTTACCAGGCTGGAGAAACCTTCTCTGAACAGAGGGGGTGGACTCAGGCACAATCTCTCTGGCATTTACAATGCAGTTCTCAGCTCTCTCCCCAGGAAGCTCCACAAACATTCACACCTGGAACCACATGACTCAGGTGGCATGAGTCATGTGGTCACATGATAGGAGTCGCTAACGACCCTTTCAGGATAACGACTTGGGGGGGGACACACCGAGAGATGGGTTTCTACGACCCATTCTTTTCAACTCCACCCAGTCGTTAACTGTCCCCCTTCTCCAGAAAGATAAATATCTGCTCCTGACACTAGCACTTTTAGAACTGAAGAAGCTTCTTGGATAAGAGGCGAAATGTCTTCTCAACTCTACACAGTCCAGTTGCCTGTTTTTAAGTCTTCAAGATAACCATGCCCTGGATGAATGAGAATCTACATGGACATATCAATTAAATGAACAATTTCCTTAGTAATAAACCCAAGATAAACATTTTCCCTTCTAATCATGTCATACGTCTATCACTAATCATGTAATCCACTACCAATCATGATTACACTTTTATCTCAAACACACATCTTCTGCATCTCTTGATGAAAGAGTATTTTCTTTAACTGTACCTAAGTACATTAAGTAAATTAAGTGTTCACTTAATATAACAGAAAAATAATAATTGCAGTGACTAACTCACATTTACACAAAATAAACTCAGTATATATGTATACTGTATATTTATACAGTATGAATATATATATATATATGTGTGTGTATATATATATACATATATATATATATATATATATATATATATATATATATATATATATGTGTGTGTATGTATATTCATACTGTATAATGAAGTAGCCTTATTGTATAATTTCAAGTACAAACAAACTTGTGCTCTGATTTCAGCTGAGGAAATGATAATTTTGTGAAGAAAATCTGTTGTGAAGATAAAAAAACATTTTTAGGGCACAGCTGAGGTTTAGTTCTTACCTGTAACAGAAATTTATTTTTTGTTATAAAATGCAGATTTTAAATCTCAGATTCTCTCAATTTTGCGGGTATATGAGGCTCACAGATTTCAGAGCAGCCAACTCTCCACCTGCACAGCTGCATGGAGATGTTTCCCTGTGTTGACTCACCCCTTACTTAACTCCCCCTATTCCCCCCCTTCAGCCATCCCTGACCTACCCCCCCAACACACACACACACACACACGCACACGCACACACACCAATGACCCATAAAGCTCCGATAATCCTGATTCCCCTGCTGTTGCAGCATTGAAATGGGCAGCCGCTCCTCATGCAGGGGAGACCTGCAGTCCTGATACGCTCTATGAAAGACTCGCTGCTTACCGGTTTATCATAGATTTATTGATCCGGTTAATACATTTTTCACAATAAATTAAACTTGGGCTTAAAGCAACATTAATTTAACAGAAAAAGAGAGAGAGAGGGAGAGAGCGATTCACAAACAGTATAGCTCTCCTTTGTCTAATTTCCAACAAGCTACGCCTGTCCCTCGCTCCTCTATATTGTTTCCTGGGAGGGGGGGACACCTACTAAAACTTAATTTCAGGAATAATTTTGAAGGACAAAACACAAAATTATTAATAACAGTAATCAAACAAAGAAGATTAAATGGCTGTTATACCTGCCAAGTGTCACACACTGCTCCCCTCACTCAGACATAACATGGAATGTACTGTGGCTTTCACCACATTTGCTACCCCTGCCACAGGATGAACCCAGTTAAAGTTTAATCAGAGGTCTGTGTTTAAAAGAGGAAGGGATCCTTTTGTTTGATGAAGCTGCAAAGTGCCCACTTTTATCCTGGTATTTATGAGTTACAGTTTTTGGTCAAAAGTTTGCATACACTTGTGAAGAACATAATTTCATGGCCATCTTGAGTTTCCAATAATTCCTACAACTTTTATTTTTCAGTGATAGAGTTTGGAACACATACTTCTTTGTCATAAAAAACATTCATGAAGTTTGGTTCTTTAAGGAATTCATTATGAAATTGAAAATGTGACCAAAACTGCTGGGTCAAAAATATACATACAGCAGTATGAATTATTAAGTTTGCTTGACTCAGATGAGGATCTGTACAATAAACTGTTCCAGGCCAATTATCCTTCACCTGGAGAGCAGCAATCAGATCACAGCCAAGCATCACAGCAGAGGTACTTGCACTCCATGGTTAGCATTCCCCAAGCACACCGTACACACTCATGCTCCCCAGACATCATCCCTACGACTCCTGTCAGATCCCCAGCCTCATTTCCACCAAGAAGATCTGTTGACCATAGGAGCTCCAATTGCAGCAACCTATTCTGAACTCCACCATGCCGCTTTCACCTCTCGGCCACCAGCAATCCAACGCACCAAAGTGTAGCCTCGCCAAGAAGGCCAACACTGTGCTCATGAACCTGCTTCCCAGCTAGAGCCAATCACCGCCAGAAACATCAGGCATGACATCACAGAGCAGCTCCCTCAACCACAACCTGCCTCATCAGCCCCCCCGGTGGGGATCAGGTCGTATCACCCCCTAGGCCTGCTCCCTCTGACTTCTCTCAAGCTATCACAACTTTCTTCACTTTCCTGTGTTTGCCGGCTGCATAAAATTCCCTTACACATACATTCTTTCATCCCAACATCTCTTACTCTTCTCATCCTTCAGCCACATACAGTGGCTGTTTTCGAATTGGCCTACTGAGTACTGTATTCGATAGTAGTGTGCAGGATGACCACAAGTCGGCCGTTATTGTGTAGTATGCTTGGCCCAGTTAAGCTTGTAAACCTGGTAAATTACAACAACACTGCAGTGTTGCCCATTCATTTAGGCACTGAAAAACATCTTTTATGTGTATTAATTTAATATTTGGGGGATTTTTTAGCCCAATACCGGCCATCAAAACATGTTCTGTCTATGCAATGATTCGTCAATCTGGCAGCATTTGATTCTCATTTGCTGTAAATACAGCAAAGTTATGTTGTCCTCGTTTCCTACTTAAATGAAAGAAGTTGCAATCCTTGCTAAACGTGTTATGGCGTCTGTGTGGTGTGGTCTTATTTCCCTTTGTCCTGATAGTTTTACAACTACAGTAAAGACCCTGTAATACAAACTCCTGTCTTCTGTCTATTTATTTCAAATACTGTGTTGGCTGCTGATTGAGTCAGACTGCTTGAACGTTTACTCACCCTTCTGCATTAAAGCTTTAGAACCCCTCTAATGCCTGCTGCCTGTCCAGCTGTGTGATGTAAACATTGCTGATGGCACGCGCTTGTGTGTGGTAAACATTGTGCGTACCATACAGTATAAAGGATGAGGAGAAGCAGGAAAATTTGAGGCAAGGGAAATAGAGGATAAAAATCGTAGGGTATAGTAACAAATCATTTTATTCATTTTAGTGGTGTCAGAAGGAGATATCTTGGCTGTCCTCTTGGAAAATGAATGCTCTGGTGAAAAGTTTTGCTGCTCTCCACTATTCCGCCGTCTGCCCAGGCGCTTTGCATTGTTGGTAATAGTAGGCGAGGCAGACTGGTCAGATGCCGTCGTCGTCGTTTTCTTCCGCTTCATCTGGGTCGCGGGGGCAGCAGCTTCAGGAGGGAAGCCCAGACAGCCCTCACCCCAGCCACTTCCACCAGCTTCTTCAAGGGGATTCCCAGGTAATTACGTAGATCTAACTCAGCTACTCCATCCATTCCCAACAAGACGGCCTAGGAAAATGCAAACCAATTTGGTTCAGTTCAGCCCCATGACCCACTTTGATCTAAGTCAAAAGACCTGACACCATCAGAATTTGCTTGAGCATTTTTACTCTTCCGCGCCACCATCTGTCAAGTTTTTTTTTTTATCTCACAGGTCCGCACTCCACAATTATCTTTCCATAATCCTGGACATGGCCCTACGTTTCACTGGCACAGGCTTTTACAGTTATCACGTACACTTTGCAAACCAGTCAGCCGGCCGCATCCAGCAATTCAATCAGAATACAAACTGAGGCGTACTGGACAACAAACTGTAGTGAAGGGGAGATGAAGCCTCTTGAAGCGTTAAAGCTTTCCATCCAACTGCTTCACTCATGGGCCGAAACTTCATTGTGCTTTATTTGTGCTATCAAGTGGACAATGTAAAGCAGGCGGAGTGATTATCAAAGACACCCCTAAACTTTGGTGCGCAAAGCTTTAAATTGAATAAATGAATGCATGTTTTTGATACCAATACAAAAATGATGAAGTTTATAATATGGTGTCTGTCTTTATGACACAGTAGCAGGGTCAAAAGGAGAAGAGGATATAAAAAATAGAGGGAGTTGTGGTGTAAATGTGTCTGTTTTACTTGGGTTGTGACTGCACTTTTGTTATGGGGACAACATAGAACATGTGAACATTCCATTCATATTTGTTTAAAAACAACTTCTCAACAAGTCTCAAGTCTATGGACTGTGAGGGGGACTCCATTGCGTTTCGCTGCCCCTTATATTTCGAATCATCCACCAAACCTGTGAACCGGTTCCCGGATCAGTCACATGGTACGGCCATCTCACAAGGCTTCAAATCTCATCACATACATCACTAACACAAGCTTCAGTACAAGCTTCACCAAAATTTTCCGGAATTACTCAACACACGCTCCGAAGCCTTGACACGGAAGAACACATCATTACCGACTGTACTGCTGAATCTTTTCCGCCTGTATCTGCCTCTGTGAGTAATGCAGAGCCCCTTCCCACCCAGCCACACTATGCATCGTCAGCGCTCCTCCACCTCGCCTATCATCCTCACAAAACTCCAAAGTCTTTAACTGGTTGTCATCTGCATCACCTTCACCTCCAATCATTCCTAACCCCTTAAACATTCAACCCGCTGTCAGTGTCCCCATGCCAAAAGGGGTCAACAAGAGAGAAAGGCCCATTCTTTACCAAGCTCGAAGGATGGTGTGCAATAACTTCAACCACCTCAGCTGCACCCTTTCCAACAGTTGTCGCCTGCTCTTTCTATGGGGGAGCCCACCCCAGGAGCACCTGCCCACACAACCCAACTACACCCCACAGCTGACTAGTACAGCCTTGTGGCAGAGAGTTTGTCAATTTCGATCTCAATGGTTCCACTCCGGTTTTCATCTTGGCATAGACATTCTCCCCAACACTTCACACACCTGGCACAATCTTCAGTCTGCTCTCAAAGAACCTAACACTGTTGATTCTTTGTTGGCAAAAGAGATTAAAGAGGGATTCATGATAGGCCCATTGAAGGAACCACCTTTTCCCCCTTTCCAGGCCAGCCCCATCCGCATAGCCACCTGAAAATACTCTAGCAAAAAGAGGTTGATCATAAACCTCTCCTCCTAGGCAGAATCTTTTCTATCTAATCTCCTGACGAAAGCTGCAGCCGCCCCCTCTTTACACACATGCAAAATGGAGATGCACATGTGGAAACATTTTCTGTCCTCTTGGAATGGCATTTCTTTCTTCTTAATGATTTCATAACCCAACCAGAAGATATTTAACTGCACATAGACGCAGCTCCCTCCATAGGTTTCAGAGGTTACTACGGGGAAGATGGTTCACTTACACCTGGCCAGAGCTAAAAGGCCTTGACTTAGAATCACAGTCTTCTTCATCTGCCCTTCATAGACTCTCCTCCATCATCACTGCCACCTTACTTTGGGGGCAGGGAGTAAGAAAATCTGAAAACACAGCAGTCATTGAAATCCTGTAATCCTGTATCCTATATTCCCTAATACCAGAACACCATTGCTGATACTCTGTCCCGTTTCCCTTTTTAGAAATTCAGACATCTGGCCCCAGAGCACGATCCGTATCCCTAACCAGTTCCACCGTTTTCAGCCACAACATTCAAGTAACTCCACAGCTAATGAACCTCACTCATGCCTCACAAGATGCAATACTCAACAGTCTTGCACCTGGTACTTCATTCGCTAACCTAAAAGGCTAGAACTGCTTAAAGTCATTCCACTCCACATACCAGTTGCCTTTCCCATCTCTGGACGTCCTGTCCATCTGCAATTTCATAACTCACACTCACACCATCCAAAAACTTAGATCTCCTACCATTCAAACCTACCTTACTGGCATTAATGTCTTTCTCAAAATTATCACTGGCTTGCAATTAGGCCTGTCACGATAACAAATTTTGCTGGACGATAATTGTGCTACAAATTATTGCAGATAAACGATATTAATGACACCGTTTTTTGAATTATAGATAATGATAATATATGGCATTATAATGCGAGTACATCATGTCAATAGCAATAAACTTTAACCGCTCAAGATTAAGAACTTTGAACTAGGATGAACTAATATAATAAACAAACAAGACAACCAAAAAACAATGAAAATAAAATGGACCCACATTCTGTTTTATCAAAAACTGCATTCAAATAAAAACCACAATCACAACTACAAACAATAAAAAAATAGACCTTGTCTCTGGTACGAAACAAAAACTTCACTCCACACATAACTATTAAAACAATAAATAAAGTGGAGTCTCGAGTCTGTAAACAAAATTGCTCTAAATAATTAGCTTTGGGTGTTATTTCTCAACAGGTGAACAAAGAACATGCATGCGCACCTCAAGCACAATCATCCCCGGGGATGATGTGTGTTCATCGTATTCCCCTTCTTTGGCACCAAAACATTCCAACAAATGCGACATATCGTCTGTGTTTGTGGGCTCACCTCTTTCATTTTATTTGAAACTGAAATGTTCCCACACCGGGGCTGTTGCATTGGGATTAAAGACCAAAGCTGTTTGATTCATCATTCATTGCGTTTGCTCCGCACTGTCGGTAAGTGTGTGTGTGTGTGTGTGTGTGTGTGTGTGTGTGTGTGTGTGTGTGTGTGTGTGTGTGTGTGTGTGTGTGCGCGCCAGCGTGTGTGCCAGCTCTTCGCCTCTGCATCCATTCCCTCCATTCAGGCTTCTCATCCCCAATGGTCAATGTTCCTGTTTGCCTTCTTCTGTTTCCTCTGATGCTCTGAATTCGCTCCGTCCCCTTCCGTCTTCAATTCATTCTGCCATCCCAAACTATCAGACATTGCAGTGCACAGATCAGCTTGGGGTCTCTTTCCTTATCTACATCTTCCATCTCGATTCCTTCCTCAATCCATATAAACCACTAACAAAATACATCAGCTCCAGGTATGCTACCCAAGCATCACCTCACGACCCTCTTTTCCTTAACAAAGAGAGAAAAATGGCTACACGATTCTGGTTCCATAAGCATCTGCATCAAATCCTCTTCATATCAGGCATAACTTCAGAGTACTACTCAGCCCATTTATTCCGTATTGTCCATCTTACATTGTTGTGGCATGGTCATTTGGAGCATTTTTATAGCAGCTATAGGTCCCAAGAGCAACTGTTCAAACAATTGTAAGTATGCATGGCACAGTTTGTGTCACTGCCATGATCAGGAAGAAAACAAGCTAGCTATCACTTGCTGCTGAGAGAAATTTGGTCAGGATGGTCAAGAGTCAACTGAGAACCACCAAAAAGCAGGCCTCCAATGCATTAGAAGCTGCTGGAACACAGGTGTCAGTGTCCACAGTTAAGCCTGTCATAGAAAATCATGGACTAAGAGGCTGCTGTGTAAGAAGGATGCCGCTGCTCCAAAAGTGTCACCTTAAGGCGCAACTGAAGTTTGCTGCTGATCACATGGACAACTAGAAAAGCACTCGGAGAGCGCAGACCCCCCTTATATTGTGATTCACACCAAACGTTTTACTGTTACGTGTCTTTTATTAACTTTTATTTGTGTTTAAACTGGTATGTTCACTGTTCATAATGTTCCTAAAACAAGAAATGCCCTGACCTGGATTTGAACCCAGGACCTTCTTGCTGTGAGGCAACAGTGCTAACCACTACACGACTGTGCCGCCCATCTACACCACTGTGCCGCCCATTAGTTATCTTTCAGCATTGAAAATCCCAACGACACCCTTAGTTTTGTGTGTTGAGGATCACAGTATCTGGAATTTTGTCTGGATCAGGATCAACCTTTGACACCTCATAAAACTCATTGAGATCCTTTTGAGTCATTTTTTACTAAAGACTCTGGTCATTTTTATAGAGTTAAATGCAAAAATTCCAAAATTTGCCCTATCTCACAATGATAAAGAATCCTTCAAAATTTCCTGGATCCAGAAGGTGATCCAGATCACCACAAAAATGTAATGGGATCCTCCTGGGGGTGAGATGCACCTCTGGTGAAAATTTCAGGTCAATCCGGCTGTAACTTTCTCCATAAAGTTGCTAACAGACAAACAGACAAACAAACTAACAAACGAACAAACAAACTAAAAAACCAACACTACCGAAAACACTTGAAAAGCACTCGGAGAGCGCAGACCTCCACCAAGCAGCTCATGTCCCCCCTTAAACAAGAAATGCACTGACCAGGATTTGAACCCACGACATTCTGGCTGTAAGGCGACAGTACTAACCACTACACCACAGTTCTGCCTATCCACACCATTGTGCCACCCATTGGTTATCTTTCAGCATTGAAAATTCCAACGACACCCTTGTTTTTGTGTGTTCTGGACCACAGTATCCGGAATTTTGTCTGGATGACCACCAAAATGTAATGGGATCGTCCTGGGGCTAAGACGCACCTCTGGTGAAAATTTCAGGTCAATCCATCAGTTACTTTCTCTGTAAAGTTGCTAACAGACAGACAAACAAACCAACACTACCGAAAACATAACCTCCTTGGCTGAGGTAATTATTAGGTTTCCAAATTGTCTCTCTTCAGAAGGGGTCTGACATAGGCTGTCTCAAAGGCAGTGGGAAGGACCCCTGTTGTTGTGGAAAATCCAGCATCCAGCAGGAGACAGGATGAGATCTGAAGAACAGCCTGGGCACTTTATTGTACAGATGTAGAAATCAGTACAGATGACAAACAGAGTCTCGACCAAGACCGAAGGAAGCCTCCCTAGCTTTTCTTCTACTCTCTTTTATGCTGTTAGGTGTGTGTGTGTGTGTGTGTGTGTGTGTGTGTGTGTGTGTGTGTGTGTGTGTGTGTGTGTGTTCTCCAGAAGGTCCCTCATGATGGCATGTCTGCCCCACGACACTTTGTTTAGGTTCGTCTTGACCCTGACAGAGATTACATGTTCCAACAGACAGATAGTTCGGGCTCCTGCAAGACAGCCTTGCTTACAATCTCATGGTCGTGGGGCTGCAGGAGCAGGCCAACCTAGATTATTTGTAGTTTCTTACTAAAGGATAATTACTCTATATTTCTTAACCTAAATGTATGAAGAGATTCCCCTACACAGTCCGCCCTTTGAAAGTTCTTACTTTCATAAAAACCTGATCATCATATCAAACACTAAACATCCTTACGTGATTAAAATAAAACATGTTCACTAAATTCTAAATGCTATATGTATGATTTGCTGCATCTAAGACTTCATAATACCACACGAAACAAAAATCAATACCATACCATACCATAGCTAGGATCATTTCAAATTTTATCAGTGCGTAAGACTGAAAACCCTGCTCGGCTGTTTCAGCAGGGAAAGAATCTTACAGCGCCGCGCCCTGGCGACCATCCATTTCCTGGATGCGCTGACATAATTTCATTTGCACAGCACAAGTGTGAACTTATGATAATACCATTACAATTCATTGTAGCAACCTGCGACAAACCCCTTGATTAGTATGTGATTAACCCCTTGATTAATGTGTTATTAGTGCAGTCCTTTAACTCTGCGAATGAAGCATGTTCAGTTCAATATCCCAGCTCATTGAATATGTTGTTTGTGTTGCTCAAAGTCTATTGCTCATCTTTGTCTCTTTCAATGTCCAGGAACCGTTCAGGTCCCTCAGTCCCTCCTTGATTAATCACACACTGTGCCAGCTGTTTTGGTGGCATTTCCTGTAGTTCATGGGCCAGTGTTAGGTCCACCATAAGTCCCATCTCCTCCGTCAGCTTCCAACAATGTCTCCAAAGGATGTGTACGATGCGACATGTGAGAAAGGAAATCAGAATTAGAGCTATCACAGCACTCATGGCTGGGCCAAAACGGCTCTCATTCATCTAAAATTTGGACCACCCAGTCCATCAACAGGCCCCCCTTACCAGCATTCTCCCACATTTCCACTTTTAGCTTTTCTAGACCCTCCATAGCTTTAGAAAAACCTCCCCCAGGGGCTTGTTTTGTTAGAAATGTATCTGCAACAGTACTTTCAAAACTGTTAAGACACATCTTTTCTCTTCAAATACCCAATTTAATGCTTATCTGTATTGACATGTTATTGGACTTGTTACATTTAAATATCCTTTAATCTAAACATTGAATAATTAACAAATCAAATCAAACAATAATTTCTGTCACATAATTGCTTAACTTTAGGTTTAAAAAAACAGCTCTTCTCTTATTTGTAAAAATCTGGCACAAATCTCTTCTCCGTTTACCACCTCCAGTTGTTATTTTATTACCCCACATGACTTTTCAACATTCATTTTACTTCCTATGTGATAAATTCATCTGGAACCTTTCCTTCGATATATCAGATCTACTCAGTGTGTAGGGCTCTCTTGCTTCTGATTAGCTATATAAAAAAAATTATTTTTAATTTTATTATCTATTTTCCTTAACCTAATTGTAAATCTGTAATAATCTGTGAATGTTGGCATGGGTTCTAGCTCTGTCTGGAGTGGTGTGGATTGTGTTTTGGGTTGCATCGTACTCACCCGCGATAACAATGTCTCCCACTTCTTCTTCTCATAGCTGTACTGGCACCAGTTTGACCTTCACCCTCATTGTGGTTTCCAGTCTCTCTCTCGGTCTCTCTCCACACAGTGTCCCTCAGCAGCAACACCAGGAAAACAGTTACTTTCAGGACGAGTGCTACAGTCATTCTGGGAGTGTCTCTTATCAAGTCATACTTCCCTTGTTTTTCTGGGCAGTCAGCGGTAGATGACGCAACATCATATTGCCCTCTTCCTGCACTGAAGTAGAGTTCACCAGGACCAAAGTATTCAGGTCTTCTCCTCGTTGTTTGTGCCACCCTCCTCAAAGGACGTTGATGTACACCTGGTGCTCTGGCTCGACTGGCCTCCACCTCTTGACTGGGATCAGATTTTGGCACTCCACCTGCTAATCGATAGATCTTTGCATCATAGTTAGCTGCCTCATATATTTAATTCACTAATTTTTCAGCTGCTCAAGCGAAAAGCTTAATTGTTCAGTCGCAGTAAGGCATAGCTTGGTTAGTTAGTAATTCATGCAGTGAAAGATTTGTCACAGTGCTTTTGATTGTGAAAGCTCATAAGCGCAAGTAGCAAAGCATCTTCCTATAGGTTAGTGTTAGTGCAAATTCTCTGATCTGATATTTACTTGAGAGATTAACTTTCTTCCCCAAGATGATGTACCAAATCATGCAGTGAAAGATTTATTTTGACTCCAAGATCTTTTGATGGTGTTGCTTCTATCCATCGACTGAACCCGTCATCATTACAAACATGTAACATTTTCCTTGGCAGTTTTAATCATGTCCACATTGTCTAAAAGTGTCTCTCTGCAACTGGAAAAGTGTCCCACTAATGTTTTATTGGTCTCTTCAATTCATCTAAAAAGCACATATCACAATGACCCAAGAGTTTATCAACTATTGTCTGCATATTCTAAAAATCTAAGGTTTTAATTGTCTCATTTTCTCCCCCTTGCACAGTGTGAATCACTGTGAAAGTCAGATCCTAAGTTCGTTTGTTAATACTACTGGTAGCAAAATAGTTATTTGACTTTAAAACATTTTCTGTGGCCTTATTGATCTTTGATAGCTTCCCATTACTTTTACATTAGGTGGCACATCTGTGAAGAGTGTATGCGGATTCAGCACAGCTGAATTTAGATTTATCAGTATTAAACTAACAGAATAGGAATGTTACAATGTTAATGTTACGATATTTACTTAAAACTATAAACCATAACTGTCTACGTACACACCTTGCGGTGAGCACCAAATTTGAATGTTACTTCTACATAGGGCTTTTCGGTCTATAAGGTCAACAGGGTTCAAATTAAAACTAACAATTAACTTTTTCCATCATCCGCAAAAATCACAATGTAGTAAGCCACCACTTTCACATTGTCTGGGCTGGGGCCCCCCACCACAGCTCCAGCCAGAGGCATCCCTGGTCTGGGCAGTTGTCAAAAATGTCTGGTATGATCACATCCCCAGCAGGTCTTTAGACGTCACACGTCCGTCAGAATTCCACTCTCTCCCCCTGCCAGGATATATCATCTCTATGGAGCAGGGTTCTATCTGAGAATAAACATTCACAACAGGTGATTAAACAGGTTACTGTCACAGGCTTTACTGCAGTTAGCGTCTGCACGGTTTGCATCACTGGGTCTCTTTTGCAGTGTCCCCCTTAGAGGTGGCCACCATTGCGGCCTGAGTCTGTACTTTGTTTCTGCTTCGCAGGTCTCCCAGCTGTAGCTGTATCAACTTCCGCTGAATGTTCTTTTCCTGTTCTTTCAGTCTCCGCTCTTCATCTGGCAGCACCCTCCACATCACATCACAATATGCATTGAACTCACTCCCATCTATCATGGGATTCATCATCCAACCTTGTTTTGCCTTGTGCAGAAACTCCTCCATCGTCTTAGTTCCCAGCAGTTGAGCCGAGTGCTTTCATGTCTGGTGTAGTCAACATTTTCCCTACAGTTGATCCTCAAAAACTCGTATCCATCTCCCTGCCACCTGTTCAGTTTGTGGTAGTCTGGCAATCAGCCCAACAAGGTGTGTGGTTTTCCACGGCACATAGCTCGCCTGTGTGCCATTTATTAAGATTGAAAACATACTATCAGTGCATTTTCAGGTGAACATAATCTAGGCCAGGGGTGTCAAACTCAACCACAGCAACTAAATCACAGCAAGGGCCATAACCTGGATTTAGGTCCAACCTCAGGGCCAAAGAGGGTCAACATTTCACCAAAACTGTCAATTTCCTTGTCAAAACATATGGGACAAAAATAGCAATGATTTTAAATCATTTGGAAATTCAAAAGACATAAATAAGTAAAAAAATAATAATAATGATAAGTTTAAAGGCAACCTAAGATAGAAAAAATTAAGTTTTTTTTTTTTTTTTAGATATTTACACCCTACCAATGCAATTGAAGTTAAACTAATCCTCCCTTTCTGGTCATGGTTTTTGTAAAAATGTATTATTCAAATGAGCACACACATTAAAACTTGATCCCCAGCAGTTTTGTGAAATTCCCCCCCAAAAAATACACAGTATAAAGCTTTTGCCTTAACTGAATTTCTATAGCAATAGTCAGTGTTGATATTAAAAGCTTCAATAATATTTAAAAAACACAGTATTTTGGCAGAAACAGCAGATGTATAGAAGCAACCCTTAGATTTGAAGTTTTAGAAGTTTTGGACTTGTGGTGCCTCATTTCTTTTTCCCCTTTTTGTATCTTTTATACTTTCACAAACATTATTTCAGCAGCTTTAACACAGAAAATTTGTTACGGAGCATAAGACGTGTTCACAAAAAAAAAATCATCACAATATTGAAGCATAAGCTAAAACCTTCATATCAGGAGTGTTCATCATGGTACTAGGAACAGAACCTCTTTCCCAGGAGTATTTAACCTTCTATGTCTCAACTGATAACATGTCCGCAATGAGCACAGTATTCACATAAACAACTATGAAATAAACACAAGTGAGGAAGACACAGCAATCTTTGACTAACATAACACACACACAGATGCAGAGTCTCGCCGTGAACACTGCCAGAGAAATTAGTTGACACAGAGCAAAACAGATACACACAAACATCCAATCAACCCACACATTTCACTTTTTCATCACACAATGGTATACACTTTCACACGTGTTTGAAGTCAAAGTCAGTCACTGGTGTCAGTCAGCAGTCTTTCACTTTAAATTAATTTAAGTGTTTTGTACTTTTTTTTAACATTCCTGCAATTCCTGTGTTGAGGATCAGTCCTCATTTTTTATTCCTGATTCTTGTTTTGATTTTTCCAATTTGTGTGATTTTTCTACAATTGGTCAGGAGATATGGGACGTGCTTGTTCAATTGGGATCCCTGAATAGGCTTTTCAGCCTATCCTTATTGACCTCTTTTTCTATCTCCTGCTCATCAAGCCAATCTGTATCTGTAATTTAAGTCCAATTATAACACTGATTTTGTAAGGTCTTTGATATATAAAAGAGATATATATATGTACATTTCAAATATGTACTATTCCGTCATTATACTTATTTGGCCCTCTAGAGTTCTGGATCAGAATTTATGAGGAAATATGCCACTTTCGTTCTCCTTTTGGCTTTTTCTTAAGCCTCAGCGGAACTCCACATGACAAATCCTCCTTTCTAGTGGAGTTTTCCAGAAAGAAAATCCACGTATGTTTTACTAGATGAATCTGCTCGTCCGTCGGCTACCACCAATTGAGCTCATGAAAGAATGACCTAAAACTCACAGTTCAACAATGGACAGACACACTCGTGCCTGCCGCTCCCCTTGTTATCCCAACAATTACCCAGAACCTTTTATCACCAGGCATTCAGCCTAAAAAACACATCACAACCCAGGCCAGGCTGTCTCCCCAAACTACTGGCCAGTGCTTCTCCGCACCCAGTCTAGCTAGTTCCACTTAACTACTGGCCTTGTGCCTCTCTGCACCCAGTCTACTAGCTTCACATATGTCCGTCTCACACATATAACAGCGTGAGGCGGTCTCACACCTTAAAGGAGACGAAGTGCCTTTCTGCACCCAGTCTACTATCTTCACATAGTCTTACGCATATAGCAGTGTGAGGCGGTCTCACACTTTAAAGGAGACGAAGTGCCTTTCTGCACCCAGTCTACTATCTTCACATAGTCTCACGCATATAGCAGTGTAAGGCGGTATCACACAACCAACTGCAGTTTCCCCTATATTCAGCTGATATATACCCAATTTAAATTGGCTTCCCTTCCCAAATTTAGCACACTTTGATCAGCTGACTGCATGCATGCAGTTTTCTCAGATTGTCTTCATTCCCACTGTCTCCTCTTATTTCTATTCTAGGTTCTTTGATTCAAAGAGGACAGAGAGCAGTAATCCGCACCACCTCACAGGGAAAAGAACTCTCAACCAAATTTTAGGAAATCTCCTACCTTTTTCTTTTTGTGTCGACAGAGTGTCCTTATCCCATGTAAAGTTCGCAGAACCATGGTCCCTTGTCCCCCGAAACGAATTCTGGCTAAAGCTCACCATTATGTTGTGGAAAATCCAGCATAAACAATGCACAGGAGACAGGATGAGATCTGAAGAACAGCCTGGGCACTTCATTGTACCGATGTAGAAATCAGTACAAATGACAAACAGAGTCTCGACCAAGACCGAAGGAAGCCTCCCTAGCTTTTCTTCTACTCTCTTTTATCCTGTTAGGTGTGTGTGTGTGTGTGTGTGTGTGTGTGTGTGTGTGTGTGTGTGTGTGTGTGTGTGTGTGTGTGTGTGTGTGTGTGTGTGTGTGTATTCTCCAGAAGGCCCCTCATGATGACATGTCTGCCCCACGACACTTTGTTTAGGTTCGTCTTGACCCTGGCAGAGATTACATGTTCCAACAGACAGATAGTTTGGGCTCCTGCAAGACAGCCTTGCTTACAATCTCATGGTCGTGGGGCTGCAGGAGCAGGCCAACATGGATTATTTGTAGCTTCTTACTAAAAGATAATTACTCTATATTTCTTAACCTAAATGTATGAAGAGATTCCCCTACACTGTCTGAAGAGAATAGTTAACAATATTAACTAGAACTATGAACTAGGAGAGCGCAGACCTCTGCCAAGCAGATCACAGTATCCGGAATTTTGTCTGGATCAGGAGGATTATTGATCCACATCAATGACTCATGGTGAACTAACACCACAGTTATTGATAAACACTGCTGTCCCAACGTGGAGTTTATGCTGCTTAAATGCAGACCCTTCCATTTACCGCGAGAACTTTCCTCTGTTTACATTTGTGCTGTTTACATCCCCCCGGATGCGAATGCAAAGACAGCACTAGCTGTACTGCAGGACACCATAAACAATTGCCTGGCAACAAACCCAGACAGTGTCTTTATCGCGGCGGGGGATTATAATCATGCTGATTTAAAGTCTGTCCTTCACTCGTTCCACCATAATGTGAAGTGTGCTACCAGAGGGAGCAACACATTAGATCAGGTCTACACCAACATAGCGAAAGCCTATAGAGCCCAGGCGTATCCCCACCTGGGTCTCTCTGATCATGTTTCGCTACTACTGCACCCTCGTTATACACCTAAAATCAGATCTAACAGGCCCGAAGTCAGGTCTGTCAGGACTTGGCCTGGGGACGCTATTTCTAAGCTCCAGGACTGCTTTGATTCCACGGACTGGTACATTTTCAGGGACCAGGGAGAGCTGATGCGTGGGTCACTGAATAGTTTTGCAGACTCAGTCCTAGATTATATCAACTTCTGTGTGGATGCGGTCACACACTTAAAGCAGGTCCATGTCTTTCTTAATAACAAACCCTGGATGACACCTAAATTAAAATCTCTAGTACGAGCCAGAAATGTGGCGCTTAGATCAGGGGACACTAATGCTTACAGTGCAGCAAGGTCAGCCCTAAGGAAAGGGGTCAGATCAGCCAAGCTGGCATATAGAGCCCGTATTGAAGCCCACTTTCACTGCTCCTCAAGCCCCCGTCAGGTGTGGGACGGGGTCAGGGCATTATCAGCCCCCCCCCCCCCCCCCCCCGTCAATGGCAGCGCACCCCTATCAGAGGAACTAAATATATTCTATGTGCACTTTGACAGGGACAACAAGGAGCCGATGTCGCCCCCCTCCCCTCTGACAGTACCACCATAATCCTGAGCACCCATGAGGTCAGGCTTGGCTTACGTGGCATCAACCCCAGGAAAGCAGCGGGTCCGGACGGAGTCCAGGGACAGGTGCTCAAGGACTGTGTAGCTGAGCTTGCCCCTGTCCTCACTACCATCTTTAACCTGTCTCTGGGCTCATGCTGCTGGGTCCCTCTATGTCTCAAGGCAGCAACAATCGTCCCGGTCCCCAAGAAGTCGAATGTCACAACCAGTTTGCCTACCGGAGGAACCGGTCAACAGAGGATGCTATCACCCTCGTGTTACACTCTCTTCTGGAACACCTGGAGAAGAAGAACACATACGGGAGACTGCTCTTCATTGACTTCAGCTCGGCATTTAACACCATCTTGCGGAACAAACTCCACAGCAAACTGCATGAACTTGGACTGAACACCACATTATGCAACTGGATCCTGGACTTCCTTACAAACCGCACTCAATATGTCAGAATCGGCAAGCACATCTCCCCCACCCTGCCCATCAGCACTGGGGCCCCTCAGGGTTGTGTGCTTAGTCCACTACTTTTCACACATTTCACCCATGACTGTTATTCATTCTCCCCATCTACCATTATAGTTAAATTTGCAGACGACACAACAATGCTAGGCCTCACCAAGGACAATGATGAGACCTCATACAGGAGGGAGGTGGAGAGATTGGTGGCATGGTGCGGCAAGCACAACCTGATTCTGAATGTCATCAAGACCAAGGAAATGATCTTTGACTTCCGCAGGTCTGTGCAAAGCTACTCCCCACTCCTCATCGACAATCAGGGGGTGGAGAGGGTCTTGTGCTTCAAGTTTCTGGGTGTGACTGTGGCTGACAACCTGTCCTGGAGCACTAACATCAAGTCTGCCCTGGGCAAGGCACAGCAGCGTCTGCTCTTTCTGAGGAAGCTCAAATGGCAAATGGCAAACCTCTCACGGGAGCTGCTGACCAACTTTTACCACTGCGCGGTGGAGAGCGTGCTGACGTACGGACTACTGGTGTGGTTCTCCAGCTGCACCAGAGCGGAGAAGGAGGCCATCGAGAGAGTTGTCTCAGCTGCAGGGAGGATCATTGGGACCAGCCTCCAGGAGATCTCCTCAGTCTTTGACTCCTGCTGCCTACGCCATGTCCAAAACATCATCCGGGACCAATTCCACCCAGCACACCACATTTTCCGATTGCTGCCCTCTGGTAGGAGATACGACTCCATACAGGCCAGGACCACCAGACTGTTGGACAGCCTGTATCCAACAGCTGTCAGGCTGTTGAATGCCCAACCTGTCTCCCATGCTCCCAACTCCTGACCCCCCATGGTATAAACAGCACTAATTGGACTTTGGACTTAGATTTGGCATAGACCGTCGGACTTGTATTTATGCTTCTCATATATTTATCTATGTAGTTAATTTATTATTGCACTGAATACTGCACTTGGGTGTATCTGTTTACATGAATGATGTATGCCAGCGGTGAAGCTCTAAACTGAATTTCGTTGTTTTGCAATGACAAGTTGTTGACAAGTTCTAATCTAATCTAATCTAATCTAATCTGACACCTCATAAAACTCATTGAGATCCTTTTGTGTAATTTTTTACTAAAGACTCTGGCCATTTTTATAGTTAAATGCAAAAATTCCAAAATTTGCTGTTAGGTCTAAAACCTGCAACATTTACCTGATAACATATAAAGAAGAGAAAGACAATGGTATATACTCAAGGAGAATGGACCGAGATAGCTTCAGGTACCATGTCGAAACCACTCTAAAGGTATTTCCGCCCAGTCTCTTTTATTTAGTCTTGTCCCTGGTTACATAATGTTTCTAAAAGGGTGGAGAAAAATGTGTGTAGCAACGTAAGCACTCTCATAAAGCATAATAATTAGCAACTTGTGAATATGTGAAGGTCAAGGCGGCATCTAACGAGCTCCTTCTGATAACAGCGGCACCTCCTCAAAAACTCCCCACGATTTACTGCGGAGGATCCATCACTCACACACCCCCACCTGCTGATAGAAAAGACACAGTCACAGAAAACTGAAAGTAACATTGTTGTGCTGTGTAGTAAATCTATTGGAGAGAGAAGTTAGGAAACATTCTTATATAATGTATAAAAAGAGGTCAAAACAGTTTATACTTGTAGTCAACTCTTACATAAGAATATGAGGAATAATGATAACTTCTATATACATTTATGCACATTATTCTAACATTTCCCTCCTGTTTATCATTACTTTGCTCAAATTCTAATAAATCCTCTAGTTCAGCCACTTCTCTCGATTTTCAGCCGCGAGTTCAGGTTTATAACTACAAAGAATTTACACACGGAGGTACAAAATGTTGCTTTAGTCAGAATTATACTCATCATCCAGATTGGGGCACAGGTCAGGCCATTGAGTGTCATCAAGTCTGTCCTGCTCGTCCTGCTGATGGAGCAGCGGGTACAGCTCCTGCATCCGCTGCTCCACAGGGGACAACGCTGTGGTGATAAGACGGTTAAGAAGAGAACAAATACAGAAATACAACAACATCCACACAAGGTCAAATTAGCTGCAAAAACAGCAACAGAGATTAGGACTGAATCTACAAGATTTCTGTATTTTTAAAATACATTCATCCAATCATCCCAAAAGAAGTTATCTATTCCTGAGTGGTCTTTCATTTTGCTGTTAAGCATTTTTAGGCCCTCTATGGCTCGAGTGAGGCTGCTATCAGCAGTAGTGTCATCAGGAATGAACGTGCGACACGTTTCTCCAAACATGGCACATACACCTCCTGTTTCTGCGAGCAGCATGTCCAGGGCTATACGGTTTTGGAAAGCCATCAGGGATGTTGCAGATAACTGCAAGTGAACGGCCTGAAAACCAGCCGCAGTCCAATTACCTAGCTTTTGAACGTTGAAATGGATGTAGTTGATTCTGATTTGATCTATAGTTTTGTTCATTATACGCCAAGGACAGACGAGAGACTCAAAGCCTGCAACAACTTGATTTACTAGTTTATACTCATCTGGTACCTCATGAGGAACTATCTATATAAGTCGGGTCTGACTCTGTTTGCTAATTTCTTTTACTCTGGAGTGGCTCAACAAAGGAATAAGACTAACTGCAGAGGTTAAATTTGTCACACTGGTCTGGAAAGTTACAACAGTTAGGATTAAAGTCACTAAGGCCCTATTATCAGTCTGCTGTCATTCAGGTACAGCTACAGAAAACACATACACTTTTGTTATGGTTAGGGAATTCCCAGTACAGACATAGAAGATATTTTTGCTAGATATTTTGCATATCTGTACCACGTTTACTTCAAATTAGTTTTTCTTAATCATTATTTATTGAGAGGGATTGCGAAGCATTCCACTATATGTTACTCATATCTTTATTAATATTCTTCTTCCACCATTTTTTTTAAATTAATTTTTTTATTTTATTTTGTGATGTACCTTTAATAAACATAAGTATAAGTGTTTATTGACAAAACAAGCATACACAAAATCCCATTGTAAACAGAATAACTCAAACGCCTAGTAGCAATTAAGCTATGGTAAAGTTCTCAGTGTGTTCACCACATGAAGCAACTGTGGTGTCCGTCTGGGTGATTCATACCCCTGCTCACTGTCTCTCAGGTTTCCTCTCCGCACATGGTCGCCTTCAGAACAGCTGAATGTGATTTTTGATTGGTTGTCACGCAGGATGTGAGGACTATTGTTGTTGTCACATCTCTTTCCTTCCTTAAGTTCATCTGAAGTTGTAAATAATGTTTTCAGTAGGTAAATTAACAGTATCAAGTTTAGCAGAAGTAAG